TCTAGCTTGCTATGTTACCATCAAAATAAGTGTCTTCCTTCTCTTCCAAAACAGGAAGCAGCATATAATGCTATACAAAAATAGGACTTGCCACACCTAAGCCTAGGGAGAAACAGGCAGGAGTAGCTCTGGTCTCTGTCTCAAACCCCCAGTCCAATCAGGACCCTGGGGAACCAGCGCTACACTTGTATTATTCCTTCCCTGCTTTTCCCCATTCAGGTACTTTTCCCAGCCCTCCTGCCTCCGTGCTCACCGGGTGAGCAAAGCAGCCTCCTCCCATGGGCAGGAAAGCACTCATGCAGGTGCTCCTGTTGCAATCCAGAGACACCAGAAGCCCCCGATTAAAGGGAAACACCATGGGAGGCCGGAAGCTTACCTAAACAAGCAGGGGCACAAAGGTAGCAAGTGCTGGCAGAGCATTGCCTACCTGGTATAGAGCTGCTGGGCTTTGCACAGCTCCCTGCCAGAAGGTCCTTCTCTGGAAGTCACAGTGAGCAATGTTTCAGGTGAGGGCAGCCAGTTTCCACAAGAACCAGAGAACTGTCAAGGAAAATGTCTGATCACACACACAACATACCTGATCCAGGTTTTGGGGAGTTCAGAGCCAGGCCTAAATGTCAAGATCTCTCCAAAATCATCATTCAGACTGAGCAGGAAGGGATCAGGATACAACCCTGCCCTCATCCACCAGACCAGTGGATGGTCCCAGCTTCTGCACCCCATAAAGCAAGGGGGGCTGACTTGCTTGGAGGCTGCTGTTTTAGCCAAACCATGCACTCACTCAGCTGCCTCTTGAGGCAAAAGCAAAAGAGCAACGACAGCTGCAGGAAATGCATGGTACAGAAACCCCACTGCATGGGTCCCCACGCTCCAGCCACCTCCACACTGCCCCCCATAACTGCATTTCAGTATCAACCTTCTATTTTCCTAAAGAGTCCATACAACAGAGGGGGAAAAAAAATTTTTCTGCAGCTGTTTTTTTAAACTAAAAATAAATGACTCTCAAACTGCAAACAAATGCCTTGTCTCTGGCTCTCAGTCGTGTTTGTTTTCCTGGGGAAATCTTTTTTTGTATAGTATCCTGGCCCTAGATGAGACACTGGGAGGGCTCAGTGGGCAGCTGTACAGTCTCTGCCTGCAGCCAGCTGTGCAGCTCAGAGATGTTTTCTTAAAGAAACAGCTTAATCAAGGTTAATGGCCTTGCCTTGTTAGTGAACACAGCCAAGCCGCTCTACCCAAGGGCAAAAGGTAGTGGGAAGTACTTGTGCACGGCAGGAGGTGGGCTACAGAGAGGTTTTTTTCCTTGTAGAGGGTCATCAACGTAAACCCCAGTCAGTTTTGATCAGGTAAGTATTTCATAGCATCACAGTCATCTGCATTGGGCAAGTCACAGGACCAGGCACACACCTCTGCTGGGTAGAGCCTTTCCTTCTCATGCTTCTCAGCTGGATGATGCACCAAGATGCACATTGCCCACAAAGCTGAGGCCCTGGTAGTTTATGTGCAGGACTGCAGCAACAAGCAGCTAGAAACGTTAGAGACACACTTGGCGGGGGGAGAAATGATCAGTGCACACCTTACTTCTCTCAGGATGGCAGCCTTGCACACCATATTCAGGATCAGGTGCTCTTAGGTAGCGTGGGCTGCAGAGGGAAGGGGAGGTTCCTGGGTTAGAAACAGGCAGGGGTGAAGCTGAGCATGTTGGAGCAGTCCAGAGATGAATGTGATGCAGAAACTGCTCACACAATCCCATTAAACACCACTTAGATGGGAGAATTGAATCTTCACTATTACTCTGTTTATTCAGTCAACAAGGCACTGTGCCTTGAGCAGCAAACAGAAGTAACACCACTGCTTTCCAAGCAACTAACCAGTGAAATAAGACACATCTCTCCAAATCACACCATTCAGAGTGCAGAATCTTTGGGAAGAGGCACGCCTTCTCCCTGCTCCTGGATAAATGCAGGGACTGTGGAGAGGGTGAAGAATTTGCCACCTCTCTCCCCATAGCAGCACAGACTGTATTGCACCCCAGATGTTTCACAATAGATGTATCCTGTCTGGTGGGACCCAGCAACAGGAGAGTCCCCATCAACACTGATGCCAAGGAAGAAAGGATCCTTCTGGTATTCAAATTCTGCCTCTAGGCTTGCTGCAAACCTAAGTGATCTTAGGGCAAGGCAAAGGTTTCAAGAACCTGAGGCATCACTGTTACAGGATTGGGTATTGCAGCAAAACAAGGGTAAAAGAGAATGTGAATTTTTTTACAGGACTATCCCAACCAGGCTGAGCCTTGAAACCAGAACAGCCAGTTCCTTAAGGCAAACAAACCCCATTACCTGAGGAGTCCCAGCTTCCAAAGCTGTAGGACAGGCTCTGGTTAACCCCTAAAAGGTCTTTCCACAGAGAACAGCTGGTTGCAGAAAAGTTTCTCCTGCACTAGCATGAAGAAATTATGCCATCCTGTGGCTGTTCGAAATACTGACTTCTCGCAGTGGTCTTCCAGCAACCGCGAGCTTGACTGCCCTGCCTGGTGCAGGAGGGACTCACAATTAGGACGGACAAGTAAACCCTTCTCAGAAACTGCAAATGGTCTCATTTACCTTAATCACTGAAATACAAAGCTAGTGCCACTTAAGAGAATACTCCCTGCTCCTAGCTAAGATTCAGCTTCAGACAAGGATTGTGCAGAAGAAATTGCTGCTGGGAACAGTTGTGCCTGCTGTTTTTCAGAGCATGCACTTTTAGAGTGGCTGTGTGTAAGGCTGGTCCTCCAGCCTGCCTTGGTCAGCTTCCTGATGTCTACACCATGCCCTTTAACTGAATAACAGAGTGAAACCTGTCTTCACCTCCAGACAAGCAGGCAACAGGGAGAAATCACTTCACTGCAGTAAAGAGCCCTTATCATTTGCCTGTGTCCTTCTCTCATTCTCTTAGCACAGAGCCTGCAAAACACTTCAAGTGCACTTTTCATCTCCTCTCCTCCATTAGTCTCCTCCTTCCCTCAGCCCAGGGCTTAGATAGCCTGACACAGCTCAGATGGGTCTCTGCTTGTCCACCCACACCAGAGCCACAGCCCTGAAAGTACAATGAAGAATTTAGTACTCACCTTTGAGAGACAGCTCTTTAGCTAGCTCTGCTCAACCATGTCCTAGCAACCACAGATCAGTTAATTGCTTAGCAGTATTAAGTCACAAAGAGATCACACAGTCCCCATCCCTGGTTTGGAACAGAACTCCAAAGAATTGTCATAGCTCCAGTCTGGGTCTGAGCGTTGCTCCGTCTCCATAACAGAGGTTTAGTTCAAATGGGCAGAAAAATAGTTCTGCCACCCAATGCAAAGACAGAAATATTTTAAGAGCTGCTTTATTTGCAGTTTTATTAATTCCCCAAAGTCCGGAAAGGATTCTTTAAAATGTATTACTCAGCTTAGCATGAGGATAGAAAAGGCCATTAAGACAATCATGTTCCAATCTACTTAGATAAGGAAACCATTGAGCAAGCATCATTTTGTGAGCTCATACTTCTTCCCTGGCTGCAGCTGGTGGTCCAGAATTTTAATATCTGCTCACAGAAAATAAAATAAAACTCACCTTTTATGGCTGTGAGATCAAAAAGGAGCCAAATGTGAAGCCATGCACTGGGGCCTAAGGGAGAACATGCAGGATTGGTTTAACTCAAGAGATGCTCTATTCAGAGGCAGATGACAGGCATTATAATTTCAGCATCACTAGCTACCATGCTGCTAATGGAAAAGAAGATGACAGCAGATAGGACAGTGACACAGAATTTTGTTCACGGCCTGCAAGTGGCCTCTTAGGAAAGCAGTATGCAGAGGCAGATTTGGGATAGAGAGCAGAGCTTGGAGGAGTATAGCTCTTACAGTCACTCTGTTCTGGGCCTTATCCAGGAGTGTGAGCATTAATTTACTGCATGTCTCCCTAGGCTTTTCCTTGGGCTGGGGGACAAGAAATGACAAGCAAAATAGAGAGCAGGATTTCAATCCGGAGAGGTGTAATATTGGAGGTTGAGAAACTCAGATTACAGATTGCACCTGGGTTAATGAGCTTTGCCAACAGAGTGGCATTTCCCAAAACCCAGCTCTGACTGCAAGAAGAGTAGAAAATGTACTCCAGATAGACTAATAGAATAGAAATACAGAGTAGTTAGGGTTGGAAAGGACCTTAAGATCATGTGGTTCCAACCTCCCTGCCATGGGCAGGGACACCTCACACTAAACCATCTCACCCAAGGCTCTGTCCAACCTGGCCTTGAACACTGCCAGGGATGGAGCATTCACAACCTCCCTGGGCAACCCATTCCAGTACCTCACCACCCTCACAGTAAAGAACTTCTTCCTTATATCCAATCTAAACTTGCCCTGTTTAAGTTTTAACCCGTTACCCCTTGTCCTGTCACTACAGTCCCTAATGGAGAGTCCCTCCCCAGCGTCCCTACAGGCCCCCTTCAGATACTGGAAGGCTGCTATGAGGTCTCCACTCAGCCTTCTCTTCTCCAGGCTGAACAGCCCCAACTTCCTCAGCCTGTCTTCATACAGGAGGTGCTCCAGTCCCCTGATCGTCCTCGTGGCCCTCCTCTGGACTTGTTCCAACAGTTCCATGTCCTTTTTATGTTGAGGACACCAGAACTGCACACAATACTCCAAGTGAGGTCTCACAAGAGCAGAGTAGAGGTGCAAGATCACTTTCTTTACCAGGATGATGAGAGGAAAGGAAAAGACCACAGGCTAACATAGAAAGGACAGTCTCAGGAAAGTTCTCTCTGATGTAAATTAGGGGGAGTATTATTTTTTGGTGGGTTGAAATTGAATTTTTTGACACCTGAAGTGGATAGCACCAGGAAAGGACAGAATTAAGAGAACTCAGCTGCCTTGGGTTTTGAAAAAAAAACCCATCATGTATTAAAGCTTGTTTTATGTAAAGTTCACAGAAGTTGCATGTGTTGGATCAAGTTGGTCCTTGTCATGTATGTTTAGCCCCTTCCCAGTCTCTGACAGATCAGCCATCAGGAGCTCCAAAGTCTGTAAGCAGGCTGAGCTGCAGAATCGGAGGTATCTGGATGCATGTTGGTCAGCTATTGTCTCCAATGTATTGGAGAAAGCTATCTGAATCTAACTTTTTGTTAAGAATCATTATCTTTAGGTACTGTCCTGCACCAAGTTCAGTTTAAGCCCTGATCTTCTTCCTCTTCCCTAATAGAAACCTCTTCTTCCTCCCCAGGATTGGCTCATTACTGGAAGCCTGAGGACGGATCTTCATCTCAGTGAAAGGGATGGAGAATTCATGACCTTTCCATGGCTCCCAATTCACACCCTGGGAAAAGGCCAAGAAATTTCTTTCACTAAAGCACCTAGACCACAAGTTAGGAGTCTAACACTGCCCCCTTACCTAAGTAAGTTTGCTTACGGATCATTTTCCTTTTAAATGAAATGAGGTAAGATAGACCGGGCAATCTCTCCTGCTCCAAGGAGAGACATCACCCCCTTGTTTTCTCAAGGCTAGGGAGAAGACCTAACAGAGCTCTGCCACTCACCTTGCTGTGAGGTTGGCCAAGTGGCAGTTCTTGTACCACCACACACCATGGTGTGTCAGAGCACAGTTGCTGAGAGCCACATCATTGTCTCTGTCCCATGTTGTGAACTTCCAGCCATTGTGGTAGGTCATTGCATCCCCTAAGAGAAGAGATGAAAAACATGATTAGAAGTAAGATAATACAGTTGCTTAACCTGATAGCTTAGTCACCCTTCAGGCAGAACACAGCAGGCATGTAAGGGGAAAAGCAGCAGCACAGCATAGATCAGACAAAAATTTCTCAAGGACTGCTATTAGAGGGCATGTCCAAGGGCAGCTGAAGATCTAAACCTTGTGGCAAGAGGATAGATCTTAAAAGTTAAGTAGAAGACTATGGACACAATGGCAATGGTAAGGATTTACAAGTGGCAGAAGCCAGCACCAGGATAACTACTGCTGCTGAGCAAATTTCCATCCTAAACAAGAGCCATTCTCTTTGCACTTCTCAGATGGGGAGCCCCAAAAGTTGCTCCACCATCAGCGCAGGTTACCCCATGGAAACACTTCCCAGTCTGCCTTTTCAGCTGGTGTTTCACCAAGTTACAGAGCCCTCTCTTCCCCATGGAAAAGCAGCTCTTTTTCCCATCTTCAGCAGGAGACAGGCCTGTGGGCATACTCTCCTCAGTCTTTCTAGGAAGTACAGACTTCTCTCCTCAAAGCAAACCACATCTGATCTAACCTGACCTAATGAACTCCCATGCTACTGGCAAAAATACACAGGTCCCAGCATTTGCTTCCCTGTGCTAGGCAGAGACAGCACAAGTACAAGACACTCCTCACCAGCACTGCCTCTGTAATTTTCCACTGACAGCCTATATCTGTCCCTGCTTGAGGCAACCTGGAAGAAGTCGTAGACAGATTCGCTGGCTGTCCATAAGTCCACATGGAGCTCATAACAAATGGGACTGCTGCTTGTGAGATTGTGCAGCTTTTCAAGACCTAGGAGAAAAAATAATTACTGTTAAAATGGAAAAGCCTGTTCACCTTTGCAATCGTAGACTCTCACCCTGCGGCCATTTTGGTTAAATTGGATATTTCCTGCCTCCCTCCTTCCCTGCTTGATGCTGTCACGATGTTTTGCCAAGTTTAAGCTGTCTTATTTTCCGGCAAGAGACAGCAGTATCAAAAAAAAAATGAACAGCCTAAACCAGCAGAAGCCTGGCTGTAGCACAGCATTATTTTTCCCAGAACATTTAAAGACTCTTGCTCCAAAGACCTTACCTATTTAGTGCTGGATTCTCTGATACAGAGTTCACTAACAAAACAAGACAGACAAAAAATGACTGAGTACACCAAGTTTTGTGTAATATCCTGGTATTTGAATTTTCATTAACACAATTTCTTTATTACCGCTCTCATAGGGGCACACAAGCTTGAAATAAACCTTTGTGGAGTTTGGCTTGCTCAGGGACTGTTCCAAAGCCCAAAAATGTCAGCTGAAAGATGCAGTGGCCCTTTAGAGATTCCTCAGTGCTTCACTGGCATTTCTAAGGAAGACACAAAAGCTGACAGTTCAAAACTGCAGCCTTAGGGGGTGGATATTTCAGCATTTAGGTGCTTCTACAAAGCTGATCTTCAGCTCTTCACTGGTCACAACCATGTACTGTACCAAGCCAAAATTCCCCTGTGGGATCTCCAAATCCTTCCACATAATTTTCCCAGCGCTGGTAGAAATCCACCTCACCAGTGCTCTGCCTCTGAAACACCTGCAAAGCAAGGATTGCCAAGTGACAATTCATGACAGGTTGAGGAGAGACGAGGAGGAGGGATATGAGAAATGCTCACCCCGATTCAAACACAATTGAAAAGGTGAAACATTCAAGCGCAAACAATTGTAGCTGATGGTACACTGCATCTGAGCAGGTACACACACGAATTCATTTCCATTTTCTGACTGCATGTAAGCACTAGAGTGAATAGTAAGTTGTGCATATTATACAGTTTACTTTCCACAAATGCCTATGGACATCACAATCTGAGCATGATCTAAGAGACAAGATCCATGAGACATTTGGGTTTCTAAACTGTAGCAAAATCAGAGGGATTTGGGCAGTAACACACAACTTATTTCAGTGAAGAAAATCACTTATCCCTGAAAATGAAAGGTAAAAGGGGGAATAAAGGTATTTTTATTTGGTTAATTTAGGGAGACAGCTATCTGGGAACCTCAGATTCACTGCATGTTCATACACATTCCCCGCTTCAAAGCATCTGTGTTTCTGCCTCCAGGTTCCTTTGAGCCACTCAACAGCTTCTATGTGGTCAGGGTTCAAGTGCATGCTCACACCACTAGTATTTAAAACACTAAGAGTTCAGCTGAAAGATGTTAATTGTCCATATATATAACATTATACTGTGGTCAAAATGAAATAATATAGCTCAGTTAACTTGGGAAAGGCAGCCAGGCTAAGATGTGCTACCTCATCTTACCTACCACTGGGCTGAATAACTCTCATAAGACCACCCATGACCTCTCACTTGCATAAGGTAACACATTAAGCTGTCATTACTCAGCCATTGCCCTCGATCAGCAATATTACAAACTTGTGTGGCATTCACAACCGACAATGAAAAATGCTATTGCTCATTCAGTCTCCCACAGCATTCCTATTGACAGCCTGAAGGGATACATCAGCATCCACCACCCTTTCTGGAGCATGCCACTCAATAAAGGCAGGAGCTGAAACACAGTACTGCAGTAGGGCCCCAGCAGACACCAGTACCAGATCACAGTGATAAAAACCAAAGAGGAGCAGAGAATCACTCACTATCCACCCGCCTCCATCAGTGGTCATGTCACAGTACACCTGCACTGGCCTACTGCAGTCCCCCTTCAAGTAAATGGTGTACATGCCACTGGATATATTTCCATTCTGCTGCATCTGGCTGCAGTCCGCAGGATATGGGTAGAGGGAGCTAACTGCAAAAACAGAGAAAATTTCACATCAGCAAAGCAGGCTATAGAGCTGCAGGAGGCATTTCACACCCTGAGGAATCTCCTAAGGACAGCGTAAAGACAAGTAAAGAAATCGGCAGCCCTCACTGTGCACAGCTGCATCTTGCTGCTGGCAGCCTTCCCTACTTCCTAGGAAGTGATGCATGGATGGGGTCCCCAGAGGCTGCAAGAGATGCAAGCTTGGGTTTCAGTGAGAGCAGGAAGAAGGAGCCCTTGTTTGTGAGGGTGGGAGTACCACTAAATAGGGACTGTAATGTCTCTGTATTTCACAATTTGTCCACAACTGGCAATCCCTGTGAGCACTGCCACAGCACGAAAGGCTTCCACAGCAAGCTGGCATGAGATTTTGTTTGATTTGTTGCCATTTGGGTGTGCTTTTCCTGACCTATGAAAACAACCTGGGCAGCTACACAGTGCCAGGGGAGTACTTAAACAGCTGTGCCCTACCATTACTAGGATGATGCAGGCAGATCTGTAAGTGTATCGTAACATCTCCTGCCCACTGGCAGCTCACCAGCAGGCTTTATCCCATGCTTGGCTAGCAAGGTTTGCCAGCAGCACTGACCACAATGAGTAACCTCTACTCACATCACCCCATTGTGTTTCGCAAGGCTCCAGATGGCGTGGCTTAGAATGGATGCCCAGTCAGGAGATACATCCCTGACTTGCTCCATGGTTTGCTTATGATCATAGTTTCCCAGTGCATCTGTAGAACATGAACTCCACCTCTGACCTTTATTATACAAGGTCATTATTATATATATTATTTATATTATATGTAAAACACAGCAGCTGTAGAGCACAGGGAAACATGCAACACCAGAGGCCAATTCCTCCCTGTTGAGAAGGTACTGACTGTCTTTCTGCTCTGGCGATCTCCCTTATAGGGTACCACAAAGATGGTATACCTTACTCCTTGTTCCAGTCCCTCCAGCACAAACTGTTGCTCACTAGGACTGAGCTGTATTTCCTGCCAAATAAAACAGATCAAAGGTCAACCCAACTCTCAATGGCATTCAGCTTTTCTGGACCACAGTGCCTCATTCTCCATATGCAATTACAGGTTTCCCTTGTAGAGTTCAGCCACACATGTTCATTGTATTTCCTCGAAACATGGAGACCATCTCCTCAGAAGGAAGACTTTGGGCAAAGTCTCAAGGAACACCACTAGGACTCTGAGGACACCCTATCCCTGGAGGGCTGCCTCTCCAGGTAATAAAGAGTTTAGGAAACAGAAGTAAAAATGTTCTCTGCACCTAGAGATCTGTTGGGAAGAGGTGCTACTGTCTTGAGTAGAAGCTGTAGAGGGACTTCGTGACATGTCCTTCCTCATGCTCTTCCTCCCTGGGCCATGGATAGCATAGATTCCCTTCCAAAATTATCCATATAGCCACGAGACCCAACTGGCAGAGCCCATAATCATAGGGGTGATTTCACTGGGGTCTGCAGGACTGAGGAATTTGCTGTACCTTGCTTGTGCCATCTCGACCCTGGTAGGTCAGAACATAGCCATCAATCTGTGCTGCAGGAGGAGTCCAGGTAACCACACCAGCAGAATGAGTCATATCTGATACATGGAGGTTCTTGGGAGGATCAATCTCTATTGAAAAAGAAAATTCAAGTCTCATCATGCAAACAAAAGACACCAACAGCAGTGCAGCACTTGGGCTGAGCTTTCAGAGCCTGTTAACTGGGAAGTACAGAAACTACCTAGTGAGCTGCATAGCTAGCAAGCAGCAGAAGACAGACGTGGCAAGGTCTGCTACAGATCTGGTTTGGGATGTTTTGTGAGCCCTGCAGTTGGCTCAACTGTTCAGGGCCCAGAATCTTGACACAGCTGCCCTAGAAATCCCCATTAGACTCATATCCAAGAAGCATTCACAGACAGGTCAGTTCGGGGCTCTATCTCCAGTCCTGGAGCATAGCCCTAGTGTGGCTGGCTGAGTGGCCTACACCTTGTTTCCCTACTCATATGAAGCTTACTTCATAAGCTTTATTGTCATGCTTTAGCCTTCTTTAGTAAACACAGGAATACAAGGAAATGCACAGCTTTACAGTTCAGTCTGTGCTGTATATGGGACACCAGCTCCTTCACCAGCTTAGCCAGGTTTTCCCTGTGCAGTCAGACTGTTCAAATTCACATAAGGAAGAACAACAGAATTATTTTTAAGCAATGCCAGTTCACAGCAGCTGTCAAAAAGTGTCTTATGAGATACCTACAAGAGGACTGAAGTGCTTCCCTAGACAAAAGCTCATTTGGAAGTAATAACAATGGAAGCAGCATCTGCCTAATTTTTATCCTGCACTTGCTACAGCTTATATACTTTATTAACATCTTAAGGGAAACAATTTAAGTAGTGAGATTCGTCTGGCTTTCCAAGTTTTAGAAAGAAGGTTCTTGGTAGGCAAGAGCCCACAGATTTGCTCCAACCCCGAAGCAGACCTGAGTTTATAGAAAATTATAACTGAATAATTCATATCAATTCTCTCCTCTTCCCCCCAGCTCCCCTGGGGGACTACAGGTATGTCATTGTCTGTTAATTCAGTTCTTCTCTATGTAAACCAGAGAACAACACTTCCAACAATTTCTTCAAGACCTTGAAGAGTGCTATGAGGATAAGCATTAACAACAACTACAATGCATCAAGTGAAATACTACATTGTGAGAAGGCCACAGAGAAAGATAAGGTCAAGCTATGCCTTAGATAAATGAGAAGAGCGGCTTCTCCCAGGAAACGTTGCACTCCTCGTGCGGAGGGTTACTGCTTAAAACAAAGGCAGAGAACAAGAAATCAAAACACCAAATGTAAGGAGAACAACAAGGACAGGAACACCAAAGTTCACACAGCATTTTGGTTTACTCTGGCTATTCCTTATAGCTGAAGACCATCTTTCACTAGGCTCACGAGTTAGGCATTAGTACATTACCTAATGAACTCGTGGCTCACCCGGGAGACCACTAAAAAACTGCTTTCAGTAAAACCAGGCAGAAACCTTTCGAGAGGCTGACTACATGTGTAGCTCCGGCTGGACAGCAGAGGGCGCCAGAAGGTACAAAATCCATCACGAGAAGCGAGGGATGGGAAGGGCCGCCTTAGTCTGCAGTTCCACAGCACCGCTCTTAAAGGCCAGCCAGCGGTTCCATGGGTCAGCAGGCCACCGCAGAAAACTCCCTGCCACAGCCCGTTTTAATGCCAGGGAATAGCCAGCCATCACCGTGAAAATGTTGGGTTTTTTTCCCCCCTCAGAAGTTGTGTTATTTTAGCAGAGGTGCCCTTACTTTTGGAAAGAGGACACCAAAACCGGAAGTACGTGTGTTTTGTGTAGGTATTTCAAAGCTAAACCTACTAATGCTAAATGCATTCACTCTCCCAGTTTCACTTCATGCAAAATTTCCAGGTGTCTCCATTTTAATTCCAGTTAAAAACCAAACAATATTTCAATTTGCTGAAACTCCTTGCATTTCTAGTTCATTCTTTTGGGCTCAGGAGATCTTCATTTGGTTCCATCAGCTGCCCTTGACCTCTGTAAGGGCTGGAGAACTGTTTGACATCTTGCCCTAAATCCAAGCTTCAACTGTTCTATCTCATACCAGTTTGATTCACAAACTAAGAAAAACTATATCAGCAAGGCCAGTGGATGTGGAATGACCCTGAAATGTTCCCAGCACACCATAATCCTTATGGCTGGCTGAACAGGAACTTGGCAGTCTGCTAGGACCAGTCTAAGGTCAAGAGCCAAAAGGCAGGCAACTAATTTAAACCATTCCCAATTCTAAAATGATTTAACTTTAGTTGTTAAAACTCTGTTACTGCTAGGCTTGATAACAGCACATGATGGACGGCATGCTTTTGACTAAGGACTAGTGAAATAAACTGGGTACCATCAGCTGTCGTCACTCTTTATTACAATGTGTGCACTTTAATCGTCTTTATCAGCAGTCTCCATTATGGTCGCTCTGGGTAGTGAAAATGCACATTCCTCCTTCCATAGCTACAAAAATCACTTTCCAGCGTTTCCACAGGTCACCCATGAGAGTGTCTGTGCCTGCCCTGTTGGCCTGGTTGCTTTCTTTCCCTGTCCAGGTACAGATGATACACACCACATCTGGCTTAAAAATAATTGGGATAGCAAGACCTGTGTCCTGCCCCACCTCTCCCTCATTCCCAGGAAATGCTAGCAGTGTCCTCTGCCAACCAGTCAGTCTTCAGCCTGGCTATGCAGCCAAATTCTGCAAGCAAAAGCCTTGATTATACAGAGGAAATTACTGATAGTTAAGAAACTTTATCCAGGCTCAAACCAGGCTTCCTTTTCATGTTCTGGGAGAAGACAATTAAAATTGAGGTGTTTCCTTCCAAGTCTTTATTCACTGATAAATACTATTCTAATCAGTGACACTAGTTGAGCCATCCTAAGTTTAGACAGGATTCAACAGCAGCAGTGTAATACTCTGGGGCAGAGCTATGCCACACTTGCAAAGGTCAGCATACCTGAAGACCAAAAAGAGCAGGCAAAGCTGATGAGTGCTTTAGCAAAGTGTTGTGAAGCTCACTCTGGGCTAACAGTTTCTCAATTAAGAGTAGTAATTATTTTCCAAAAGTTATCTAGACTTAGCACCATCTCTGTCTGAAGCTTGAAGGTGCCTGTAGCATGAATGTCCCCACAAGACAAATATGCTCTGCAACAGGCCAGAAAGTAAGACTACCTTCACAACACAGTATCATGTAGAAGCAAAAATATTTTCTATTACTGCCTCAGTGCTGACCTTCTTGCTCTGCTGTGTTCCCTTCTCTGCCCAGAGGAAGATAATATACTCAATGCCAGGTTTCAGTCCTGTCAGTCTTGTAGTGGTCTCGTTCTTTCCCACTTCTACCTCCTCTGTGTCACCACTAAAGGTGTAGTTCACCATGTACCTATCTATAGGAGCCTAGGCCCTGTCCCAGGAGATAGTGGCTGTGTCCTCTGTCACTTGGTCAGTCATTAGATGAGCCGGGCTGTCAATTTCTGCAGAGATAGTTAGAAGGGAAGGACACAGGCTGTCAGAGTCACACTGTGACACTCCTTCCCCTCAAGAGTCTTGCAGTTTCTTCCTTTTTCAAGTCCTATCTCTGATCACATATTGATTGGACACACAAAGCTGGGAGGTATCGAGGTCTGAGGTGGGTTGACTGGGGTCTATCTTTAATACTTCCAGATGCTTTCCCAGAGAACAGCACAGCCAGTTCTGACCTGGACAGAAGTGAGCCTTTTGCAGAGCAAGATACTGTTACTTTCTTGTTTTCTCATGGTCACAAGCCTCAAAAGCTCACATACGTATCACCTGTCCAGAAAGCGAGAGAACAACCAAAGCTCTTTTGCTAAGAGACTAAGATACACATTTACTCATCACCCTTCAACAAGATCCTGACCTAGAGCATGGGTCTCAAGTGCTTGCAACCGCTTGCAATGGATTCAGATGTTCAACTTTACAGTGTTGTTATAAGCCAGCAACCCTCACAATCGGCAGATCACTACACCTCCTTAACCAGGACTGGAATCACAGGGGAAAGTCCTGGTAAGAACAACTGAGCACCGGGATTAATCATCTTATTGCAAGAAAAGGCATCCTGCCTACTGTTAGTCTCCCTGCACTGTAATTTATTAATCTGCAAAAAGGAACTGAGAATTTCCTTATTCCATGATGAAGGATAAGCAAATAAAGCAATTAAAATAAAACAAGACTATATGAACACGTAAGAGACTGCTGCAAAGGCTTCATATTCCCTAATCCCTATTAGTATTCGCAGCATGGCCCATTTGTAGTACATAAAGGTAACTAGGTTCTCTCTGTTGTGATGTTGAATAGGTTTCACAGCAAGATGCACTAACCTGAAGTCTTGACTTGTTAAGCCTGAATCTCCCTCTACTGTGAAAATGTCTTGGGATGGATTTATTCAGTGTTAAGGCAAAGCTGGACTTATACTCTTAATAAAATCTATTGCCCACTTACCTGTCACAGCCTCAGCCCTGGCCCTCTTGCTCTGTTTTCCCTTTTCTGCCCAGACATAAATGACATACTCCATGCCTGGCTTCAGTCCTGCCAAGGTAGTGACATTCTTGTCTTTCTCCACCTCTCTCTCCTCTGTGTCCCCATCAGCTGAGATGTAGCTCACTCTGTATCTGTCTATTGAAGCCTGGACTTTGTTCCAGGAAACAGTAATGGCATCCTCTGTGACTTGGTCAGTCAGCAGCTCAGTTGGGCTGTCAATTTCTGGAAGTGAAAGTTGTAATTATTAGAAGTTTTAGCGTAATGCTGTGGTAATTACAATGGTTTAAAGACACAAACAACACAAGTTCTATAGCCAGAGGCAGTACGCTTTATCAGACTATGAAATCTATTTGGAAAAAAAAAGTGAGTTTGGGGAAATGATTCTATGCCCAAAGACCTGAAAAAGGTTTGCGTGTCCAAAGCCTTGCTTGTTTTTTTTTTTTACCAGCTTAACCTGGTAAATCGAATAGAAGTTTTATCTTTAGCTATAAACTGTGTTTTGATCATGCAGTGTAAACAACTGACACTTGAGCGAGTCCCATTGGATATTACCATTTGTGCAGCCAAATAATTTTGTATGGTTGAATACAGTGCAAGGTAGATTTAAAAACGGGTGCTAACTGCTAGCACACCCTGCCATTCTTGATACATAGGTAAGCATACCTGCATGGCAGTGCCAAGGTGGCAAGACCCTGTGTTGGGCTGCTAATTTCTGCAGGAACAGTTAGGAGTGAAGAACACAAGTTTTCCCAATGATGCTACACTTACTTCTTCTCTTCAAGGGCCCTACCAATTTCTTCCACTTCTCATCCTTTATTTCTTATCAATGATAGGCCTAAACTACAAAGCTGGAGGTGACCATTTCAGAGGTATTTCAGCTTGGGTCTAGGTCTCCTCTTCACACTTGGAAGAGCAGGGCTTTCTGTTGGGGAGCAACAAAAACACAGCCAGCCCTGCACAGACAGAGAGGAAAGCCCATGCAGAACTTGGTGTCTTTTGCTTTCTGAAGATCACAAGCTCTTGCCTCAGTTGGTCTGGGAATTAACCCCAAAAAACTAAAATCACTTGCGCAGAATCCCTGTCTGAAATACACCTCTCCTGGAACAAGATTATTTTATAGTAAAGCAAAGCTTCCTACCTATCACAGCTCTGATGCCTGCTGGGCTCCCCTGTCTGCCTAGAGGCCAGTGGCATTATTTTTGCTTGGCTTCAGTCCTGTCAAAGCAATGATGTTCTAGTCCTTCCCCACCTCCACATCCTTTGTGTCCCCATCAGTTGTTTTGTCTCTCATCAAGTATCTGTCCAGAGGCCAGTGCCTATCCCAGAAGATCATGACCGTGTCTTCTGACAGCCATCTGGCCACTACATGGACACTAGATTGCCAATTTTTGGGGGGAAGAGGTTTAAAGGTGAAGAACAAGGCAGCAGCACTAGTGAAAACCAAGTTCACATTCTCCACTAGAAAAAAAAGCCACTTTCAATCTCCCCCCATTATTACAGTCATTCCCCTGCCCTTTCACAGGTGGAAACAATGCCACTATGTTTCACAAGCCTTAACTCACCATCACAACGCAGCCTACAGGAATAGGGCCCTTCAAGGACAGCCCTTACACAACCTTCACAAACGGGGCTTTTTTTGCTGGATTTTTTTTTTCTTCACTAAGCTGCTAAACACATCTTAGCATCCTGAGCAATGAAAGATTTGCAGATGCCTCCCAAACTGCCGGAACAGCATTTCTAATTCTGCTGCAGGCTTTAAACTCGAGGGCATAAATGCACAACCAACAGCCACACTGTAATTTACCACACATCAGCTTAGCTGTACTGTGATTTATAACACATTAGTGTTGTAAAAGTTGTGATTTTCCACCTGTGTGTACTAATGTCACTTCTTTTGCAAGATGAAAATTCATTTTAATGAAAGATGCTGAAGGTTGTTTGTGTTTTGCGTCACCCTAGAGCAGCACACACTGGGAACTTGTGTTTGAATAATCACAGCTCAGCTAGCTAGCAGCATAAGATCCTCACCTGTGGCAACAAAAAATCAAGTTAATTATTTTCTTGTGTGATACAAAAATCAAGTTTTTTCTTTAGTTATAATTGTGCTGCAGCTGGGTATGGGCTGTGCCTGTATGCATATGCAGTGCATTTAACTTCTTAACTTCCTGAGTGATCCATAAGCCTCCCAGCCAGTCCCCTGCATCAGTGAGCACATGGGCTGTCTTGAGACAATGGAACAATTGAAAGCTGGTGATTTATTGAGCTTTTTAATTAAGCATTTGACTGATCATTAGTGATCCCCTCTGGATGGGAACTTCAGGCAGTCCTACAAATTCCCTGAGGCAGCTCTTGTGTCTAGTCAGATTTATATGCTTAAATATGTTGGTTAACATCCTGAGTGGAGCATCCCAAACACTCCCCTAGGAAATTTCTGCTATTAAAGTGCAGATTGCACATAGATAAGACATTTGTAAATAGTCAGTACAAACTGCTTTTGTACCCACAGCCACGTTGAACTGCGGCTGGCTGGAGTATAAGAACTGAGCAGAACAGAGGCTTAAGGAGTTTCCCAACCGAGCTGCAAACACTACTGCAAGCGCCCTCCCTTGGAAACTTGTCACCAAGAGACAGCAACCAAACACCCTGTTCAGGAAATTTTACTCCCCTTTTAATTTATGCCATGATCCAAATAAATGTGATTTTCCTTTTTAGGAAACGCTCTGGCATGACTATCTGTGCAAAATGTGTATGAGCCCCCTGTCTTTTTTGGGAAAAGCTACAACAGTCACCCAAAGAAAAGCCTGGAGGTGGTTTATGGCAATTTAAAGGCAAGACATGAATTACATATTCCAGTTATGAGGCTTTAGTTTTTGCTGTGTTTCACTGTTCTTTGTAGTAACTGATGCCTTGCCATACATAAGGACTCAAAGATTGTCTTCAAGCTGACCTGGAGACCTGTTCAACCACACTAGTAAGAATGACATGAATTTTTGCCTCACTAAAAAAAGCATGCAGATCAGAAAAGGCTTCAGTAAAACAAGTAAAGCTGATGAAGGAGTTTGAATTTCAAACCCACCTCTCGCCACTGCTGCTGCTACAACTTACCTGTCACAGCTCCGGTGCTTGCTTTCTTGCTCCTATAGGGCCCCTTCTCTGCACAGATGTAGATGATGTATTGCATGCCTGGGTCCAGATCCCATAAGGTGACCATGTCATTTTCACTCCCCACCTCTATTTCCTTTGTGTCTCCATCAAGTGAGGTATATCTCACCATGTACCTCTCTATGGGAGCCTCAACTTTATTCCATGAGACCGTGGCCATATCTTCTGTCACTTGGTCAGCTGCCACACTGGTTGGGCTATCAACTTCTGAGAAGATTTCAAGGTGCAGGATTAGGAACCTCCAGCTAAACAAGGCGAAAGACTGAGCTAGGGCTAGGTTTTTTGTTTAATAAAGTGTAGACAAGCTTAAAGCAGATCTGCTTGCAGCTCCTGCATGAAGAAGCAGCCAACTGTGCACCTTTTGTGCTGAGATCATGACAGATCTGTCCCCAAACCCTGTAGAAACATCACTATCATTAAAGAAACTTTCTACATACCAGTCCTACCACTCACTGAGGATGGTTTCCCCTCTATATTGTCTTTCATGGGTATGACAGCGACCTCATACTCAGTGCCAGGTTTCAGGCCTACAGAGAGAAAAAGGGAAAGTTACCAACAAATAGGGAAGGCAGTATCTTTTTCTTAAAGAAAGCCATTTTGTTTAGTCTATTCCAGTTTTAGGTTTGTAGCAGAGAGGAACTTAAAGTTTAGATTTCTACCTAACTTGCTTTTGTCTTAAGAATGCCTTGATAACACTTTTGGTCTGGGCTTGCCCTGAGGGCATACACTAACTGCAGCAAATGGAGATTTCCATATACCTTCAGTGTTACCAGCTCTGAAATAGAATATGCTTTATTCCTAACAAGGACAGAATTAAAGCTGAATTAATATGCCTTGAAGCTTCCTGTCCACAGGGCATAGAAGTTTTCTCCCTCTGAAGACACTCATCAATTATGGGATAGTGGAACACTAACAGATCTCACCCTGGCCTATGGCAGGCACAAGGTGAAGGAAAACTGGCCATCCACACATGAGAGAAGCATCATCTCAGGACTATGGTCTGACCATCAATCACTCCTGTAATTTCTTCCTGCCCCTGACTAATTTGGAATACCCACAAGTACTCACCAGTCATTATGTGTCTGCTCTTAGGGCTACTGCTTTTGGGTACCATGACCTGCTTCTCATCCATCTCCACCAGGGACCTGAACTTCAGCTTGTAATAATCCACATCTGTTGGTGGGTTCTCGCATTCCACTTCCAGGGAGTGCTCCATTTCTTCTGTCATCCAGATGGCATTGAATGCAGATAGAGCTGGGAAGAACAGCAGAGGGTTGAAGACGCAGCACCAGCACAAAAAGGTAAATATAAGATAGGAAGTTGTTAAACAGTCCTGCCTGCCCAGTCATCTGCTTCTGAGACCCAAGACATTTTCCTGAGCCAAACTGAAGTCTTAAGTAAGTACAGTACAATAATTGCTTGAACAGTCTTAGTTTTATCCATGGTAACACTCCAACTCAAGAGTTTTCTGGCTCTCAGCTCCCACTTGTTGTGCTAGAAAAATGTCAAAATAATCAAATTTTCAACTGTTTCTTCTAAGTCCAGGCAGACAGCATAATGTCATCTGCTTACACAATGGCATTTCACTTCTCCAGAGACTACTTCAAATATGCAATCTTTCCACACTTGATCTTCTGACCTCAGTAGCACCAGGCTTATACAGTCCTAGGAAGAGATTATCAGGAAAAGCTCACTGCTGCAGACATGTTTGGCAAATTATTATCTAGGAATGACATTCTGTCTACTTTAAAGTCACTTCTGCACCTGGTTAAACAGTGTATTATTCTTAATAACGTCCTGGCTTTATCTTGCACACTTCTATTCCTGCTTCTTACAGGGGGAAACATCACAGATTCCCTGTAATTCAGGGGAGCCAATGCAAGTAGAATTTGGACAAGATAAAGCAAAATTTGCAATACATTCAGCCCTAATGATACATATCTGGGAACAAAATGAACAGAATTTTTTTTCCAGGAAAAAAAAAAAAAAAAAAAAATCAATGACAGAAAACTGCAACTGAAGCTGGGAAGAAAAAGTGCTCTCTGGTGCTCAGACAGGATATTACAAACCTGCAAAACAAAACAATTTGCTTGTTTGGCCCTAAAGATCTACAGCTTCTGACTGAAGAATACTGCCTGCTCCTACCTGTACTTGCTTCTAGATACTTGGGCTCACTAGCAGTCCCCTTCTTCACATGATGAAGTGTGATATTGTACATGGTGCCAGGCCGGAGACCCACAGTCTCACAGATGAACTGTTCTTTGGGCATGTGGACTTGTTTCACCAATGTCTCATACCCCACTGGGTAATAGCTGATAATTATCTACATCAGTCATTGGATCCCAGCTGACAGCCAGAGACTTCTCTGTGGAGTTCAGTAGCTGCAGGTTCTGAGGAGCAAGCACTAGAAGAGAAACAAAGGAAAACATTGCAATGGGGTTGACGTCTTCTCACATGGCCAAGCGAGACATTTTTTCAAACCTATTTTGAACACAGGGAGAATGCAGAACTAGAAGCCCCAGTCTGAAGGCATCTTGGATTTGTCCATTTCTGGTCAACAGCTTATCATTAAGTACAAATGAATACTACAGCCAGTAACAAATACAGTAATTTCCTGGACGACTCTTTCCAGCTTCTAAACCCACACTGGCATGAGGAAAACGTTCTCATGAAGCTGTCCTTTCCAATGTCTCTAGGAAGTAAAAGACAAGCCAAAACCTTCTTTTCTTATTACTCAGTTACTCAGAAAAGTCAACTGGTCCCCAAAACTGGGGAACAGCTTCTCTGTGGTAGAGGCAGAAAACTGAGCTTTTCTACTGATGGAAACTTACACCTTGGAGGAGACCTGGGCAAACCCACTGCACATAACAGATTTCTGAACACCAATAGTGTCTTAGCCATTTTGCCACAAGACAGACAGCTCATCAGTGTCTTGAAAGCAACCCTTGAAAACATTCAATGTAAAACATCTGTCAGAAAGTTTACCTGGTTTTAATTACAAGTAAGCAAATCATAAACTGATCAAACCATCTATGAGCTGTATTTCATTAGCAAGGCATCAACAGATAGCAAAGTACAGACAGCAAGTGCCTGGAGTGCATGTAAAAAGGAATGTGTCAGCAACATTAGGTCAGATAATATCAGGAATTCTTCTAACTTGAAAGGCAGCATTCATTCCCTCGTGTAATTCACAGCTTTCACTGAATTCTACCCTTGATATGCGCATGCCATTGCTTTTGAGAAAACTCTGCACAAAATGCAAGAATGTTCATCCTGCCTTTTCTTATGATACAGAAGCTAGATTTGAATAGTTCATATTTGCAATAACATAATAAAGAACCTGAACACATATGATGTGGTTTATCCCTTGTCTAAGCATAGTTCAGAAGAGGATTCTATCTGCCTCTCTGGAGAGGTAAGGTGTAAGAAACCACTATCATCTTCTTAGGGCAATGCCTAGGAGTTTGTTTCCAAGCAGGACATTTTGACAGTGGGTTCTTGCAAAGGCAGGGACTTTCTAGGCCAGGAGAATCTGCTTTTGCAATGTGTTTGTTTGCTCTGCCCTAAGCTGCTCCAGAGCCATCTTCTCCAGCCAACATGACAACCCCAAGCACTTCAGGATTTGATAAAAACGTGTCTGGTCAGGGCCAGGGGTGTGAAGGGGAAGGAGGCAACTGCCTGGCCTTGGTAACCCTCGAAAACCTCCTGCTCTTGCTCTCCAGCAGCTGAGGACAGCCTGAAGAGAAAGGGTTCATCAGAGGCACAGCACCAATTGCTCAGGTGAATCAGGAGGATGGGTGGCTGTGGGCCGTGCCAGAGTCCATCTTGTGTTCTGCTCACTCTCGTTAACCTCTGTCCATCAGGCAGCTTCTGCTCCAGAAGCAGGCTGAGGTCCTAATGGCTGAAGCAAGCAGGAAATGAGCAGCACATTTAGAGATCCAGTGCTGGGCTGAGAGCTCACGTGGGGGCTTGTGGAGAAGCTTGGTTCCCCTGGGAACACCAGAGTGTCCCTCTTTATTTTCTTTTCCAATTTCCTGATTACAGCATCATTGCAAAGACTTCCTGGTTAAACTAATACTGTGCCAAGATATCACAGAACTGGTTTTGTGGATACCGTCACTTTAAGGTATTCATTTATTCATCTTCAGATATACCACAGTGTTATTTTGGAGTGCCAGTAAACAAAGCCCAGAAAGAGCACAGGCTAATACCCTGTTTTGATGCAGACCTCATGTTTGGATGAAGAATTTGAGCTAGTAATATTTTAAGTAACAGACAAGTCTCTAAGCAGATAGATCAAGCCTGAGAGATGAGGGATGACCCAGAGCAAAAAAGACCTGAAAGCAAGGTCACTACAAGCTCTTACTGAGCAATACCTGGTGCTCAGTGTGTGTCTGTTGCTTATTTCTCCTTTATGAGGAGCTGTGCAAGTTTAGACCAAGCAGTGAAGGAAAGATGGCTTTCAGGGTAAAAGGCTGAATGCTGAAACGTGGAGTATCATCCTGTGGTTGTATGAAGATTATAGGATTTTCAGAGCTAAGGGGAAACTGCTGGACACACGTCTCAGGGTCAGCTCACTCAGGTCTTCTCAGGCAAATCCTACTGCTTTGTAGCAAAGCAGGAGAAGGGAGAATTTCCCAAAGATCTCACTTCAAAAGGAGATTTAAAGGATTTATGCATCCTTTGCCTCACAGGTTTTATCACATCAACTACCTTATCAGCAAGGAATGCACACTGCAGCAAACATGATTTGACCTTCTATTGTCTCATTTGTATGTCAACAAACAGAATCTGGCTCCTTCTTCAATTATAGTCTCCATACGGTTTTGTTTTTCCCTTCAGCTGCTACACACAGGCTTGTGCAACACTGTCTTTAACTGCTTTTTCACCTTTCCCCAAATTCAACAATATTTCCAGGCAATTCTTGATAACAAGGATCAGTCACCAATGCCTAGACCAGCAGGAACTCCGAGAAGAACATTCTGACCCCACACTTAGCTGCTACAGCATTAACCAAATAATTATAGAAGATAGAAAAGAAAACTCAGCTTAAAAGCATGAGGGGAGAAATAACTCACAGGAATGTCTTACCCTGGGAGCAGTCAAGGCCAAAGAAGCCGTCATGGCAGTAGCACTCTCCTGTGTCACAGAACCCATTGCCACTGCAGTCCCCAGGACATCGTTTCTCACTGCAGTCCTCCCCGATGAACTCCTCATAGCACTGGCAGACACCTTTGGCTGTGTCACAGATCCCATTACTGCTGCAGTTCTCAGGGCAAAGCTGATGGCTGCAGTCCTCACCGAAGTGAGGCTCATCACAGATACACTTCCCACCATCACAGCGCCCATGTCTGCTGCAGTGGCTGGGGCAGGAAGGACTGGAGCAGTCACTGCTCTCCCAGCCCCCAGCACACTTACAGCTGCATGTCTCATACAGGAACGTCCCATGGCCACTGCAATGCGAGACATCTGGCCAGAGCAGCACCCGGGTGCACAACAGCAAGTGTGACACACAGGTGAGAGAAAATAAACAACTAAAATTAGGAATATAGCAATGCAAAGGTAGTGAAAAGGTGTGCTCAAGGTCATTAAAGGGAAAACATAAATATCACTGGAAAATATGGGCTGAAAAATACTTGAGGACATCACCATCTCCATCTGCCCCAGGTCTAAAGAGGGATCAGCTCCACCCTTGCCTTTCCCAACACATTTGTCCATAGCTAGCAGGACCGCAGATTCCATGGCTGCCCCAGAGAGCCAATTAGAAAGCTTTTCACAACCTCTAACCTGAATCTTCCTAGTTGTAATTTAAGCTCACCATTTCTCACCACAGTTATAAAGATGGAAAGCACATTATTCTCATCTGTTATACGCCTGTACTTTTCATGTAAGCAAAGCCTTAGCACTTCTCCCTGTCTCCATTCCCCAAAGAACATTAGTTCATTAAATCTTTTCTTAGAGGACATGTAGTATAAAACTTTTATCACAGGCAGAGCCTGTGGCCACCACAAAACATAAAAACTCTGCTCTTCTTTCAGTCAGTTATCAAGGAGGAAATAAACAGACAAACTCTCAACTGCAGAATTATGAAGGCAAAAGTAAGAAAGGAAAAGACAGCAACAAGAAGTACCTCCTTCACCTTCCTCCCTCCTGTCCACTGAATCCTCCCACCTCTGTAAAAGTCAAGAATCTGTTCCATTCCACTCGTCCCCTGCGCTGGTTTCAGAAGTTGTACATACTACCACATTTTGGGACCTTCAGATCTTTCACATCACAGAAACCAGAGCACCTTCCCATCTGTAGGACTATTTCACTCACAGAGAACCCCCAATAACCATCACAAATGGATTCCAGTCCCCAAATCACTGCAGTAAATAGGCTGTACCTGGGATGTAAGAACAGATACTGGAATTCTTACTTACCTTGGTTTCCCCCACAGCACTTCTCAGGGCTGCAAATTTCTCTCAGCTCTGCCACTTCTTTCTCAAGCTTCTCTATCCTTTCAAGCAGACCTTTATTGTGGGCCAAATTTTCACAGTCCCCTTTGGGTGCGTGCACATGGATATTGTGCCTAAAGCTTATATTCTGCTCTTCATTTTCCTCAGCCTCTCCAGGATCTAGGTGCACTCCACTGTTGTCTTCACGCTGGAATGGATCTGCCTCCACCTTAATCTGGGAGGATGTGGGCAGGTCAATCTTGTAGGAGTGGCTGAAGGATATTCTTTGACCATCGCTGGTGCAGTTGTGAGATGCAGGATGTTGAATAGCAGCTGTCTGAAGAGCACAGCACAGCAATACCCCCATTGGAAAGGCAAGCCAGCTCTGGAAATCCATCTGGCAGATTTTCAGAGGCAGCACTGACTCCTCAAACAGCACAGGTGCTTCAAGAAAAAGAAAAGAAATTAAACCGTATGGTTATAAAGTTGGCTTTCATGATTTCTCTTAAAAAAAAAAAAAACAAAAACAAAAACAAAAAAAACCCCAACCCAAACCACAGTTATTTGTTTTGCCCTAATTCAGTACTAGGTTGGTAGAGCACCTGCACTGAATGCTGGATTCACTTGAAGGATTAAGTTTATTTTGCTTCTACTCAGTTATCTGATTTGTTATCTCAGCATTGGGAAGGTTGATATAGAAGTTACTGGAGCAAATCTGTTAACACATGGAGCAAGAGGATGTTGAAAACCCACCTGTTTCCCATTTTTCTATTTCAAAAACATTCCTTCTTTCCTACCCTGCATAAATAAATACATAGGAAGAGCATGGTTTTGGGCTGATTAAGTCTCAAAACTAAGCCTTAAAAGTAAATACATATTAATGTTTAACTGCATTGACATTTAGAGGTCAAATCTGAAGACCAAACATTTAACCTTAAAGTCTTCAGATACAGTTTTTAACAGAAACAAAACTTTAGTTAACCAAGCGAGATTTTTTGATTTAAGAAACTAACACCTTAGAGGCAAGAATAACAAGAAGGAAGAAACTAAACAAACATGGGTAGAAGGATAAAATGTAAAGTTAGAAATATAAATTTATAAGTTGGCTTGGCTTAGTCAATGTTACAAGCTGAATTTTGGCGCTAATGGTAGATGTCAATCTGTACAGGAGGTGATATATACTTGGTTAAATACTTAGAATTTCATATCACACAATGCAAATACAAAATGCCACCATATGTGACTAACTAAGAAGTCATGTTATTCATTGCACTAGAAGAGAAATCATTATTTAATTGCTAAATTAGGTAATGTGATAACTAGAAAGCATTTGGCCAGTAGGTATCCATAGTAACAGCACATCTGAACTCAGATAATAGTGCTGCCCCAGATAGTACTCTATATAAAGTAGGAGGACTCCAGTCCTAAAGAATTATACTAAATTTTCAGCTCCTCTGCTATTTCCATTATCATCACATTTCTGAAAGCCATCCTGAGTTATAATGAAAATTAACTGTTTCTGTGAAACATCCTTATATCTCCTAAATGTCTGCCAAAACTGGAAATATCCCTACCATTATATTCATGCCCTACAGCTACAAGAAGGTGCCCTTTATGCTCAGAAACATGAGGCTTTGGGTGCTAAAATCCATCAAGATTGTAAATGCATATTATACCTGCTTATACGTGTATTGCAAGTCACTCTGGTGCATATCTCTTCAAGCAAAATCATCACTGAAATCAACAAAAATGGGGTATAGATTTCAAGATTCAGTTTACAATTCTTTATCTTGTTGTATTTATCTAAGGGAATTATCTCTGCTGCTTATTCCCAAATAGCAGTTTGGTTGGGTTTTCCTCCCCCCTCCATTCAGCACTTACCTGCCTTTAACTAGCAGTAAAAGAAAGGGGGGGGGGGGGAGGAAGTATGCTGCTTTGCAGAGGCAAGGGCTTATTCCCTGTCTCTGTCTCCTGAGAATTTGCAGATGCCTGTTTGTGACCCAAGATGTATTTTTCCACCTTGACCCACCTGCTATTCTGTTTCCCAAGACTCCTTTCCCTCAAAGACACACAGAAACTATAACTTTCTTTTTCTTCTATGTAGACTTCTGAAACAAATGAAGATGTAAGAGATTCCTTCAAAGCTGTGAACAAATTTAATGTCTAAATTCTACAGATCCTCACCAGTCCATTGTAGGAAACCCCAAAAGCTTTGTGTTGTGGGATTTATTTCCAAACCCCTGGAGATGACTCCCCAAAACCACTCCTACCACCCCAGACAGGCACATCCACAAAATCCCTTCACTCAGCATCAAGTGCTGAAGAGCATTCTGGGTTGGAACATGATGTCATTACTAATTAGGGCTTCCTGGGAACCACAAATTGATCTCAGATTTTCCTGGGCTTAGAAATCATTCAGGAGGAAAAAAAACTGAATATAAGCATTTCTGTTAAGCGTAATGAAAGAGGACAGCTCTTTTGGCTTCTTCATCATATAATAAAGACATTTTCCCCTGCTGTTAAAAAGAGTATGATTAACCAATTCTTCATGGAGACTATCATGTCATATGTACGACTGGCAATAATAGCAGATTAGGGAAAGGACTAATCTGGGAAAGAATGCCAAACAGCCAGATCTACTAGGCACAGAATATTCTTCTAAGGAAAAGGATAGAAGAAGCCCTGCTCACATCTTTCCAACCTTTGCAAAGGAAAGCACAGAATGATCAAAGCTGGACAGAACCTACTCTATTCATATGAAAGACTCTAATGATCTAACTCCAAGTCTTTTTTCATCCTACAGGTCAGTGCTTGAAGGTCTGGGGTATAGGCCTTTGCAGTATTGTCTTCTGCTAGCACCCAGGCAGCCACAGGAGATGCATGTCTGGAAGCTGCTTCAATCAAGGCAAGAGATGATGAAGGCATGGATGTAGACAGTCTGCAGGGTGACACCCAGGCAACATGAGATAGGAGTGGAGAGAGAAAGGGAAACTTGTAGTTACAGGAGAAGGAAATGCAGGTCTAGAACAGCTCCAGGGCTGCAGAAAAGGAAGAGAGAGACAATTATAAGATCAAAGACTGAGAAATGGGGCAGAGTAGGCAATCCAAGCAGCACGAGTTATGCAACACAACATTAGAAGCAACACACACAGAAGTTGTGGAAAAACAGCCTGGAAAAACGGATATGCAGTGAAAGGAGCCACAGGGTGAGACCTGAGCTTTGTAAGCACTAAGGGAGAATACAGCGTGCGATTTTTTGAGCACAGCTTTTTGCACACTAGGGCTAGAACAGAAGCTGCCAAATTGTTGAAGAGACATGAGAGCTGACAGTTTCCTAATTGCTAAGTTAGAAAATTGGCACATTTAATCAGGGAAGGTTTCTGAGGTATACAAAAGAAACAACAAGTATTAAAAGACACGTCAAAGTCTTAAGCAAGTTCACAGAAGTGCTGCCGATATCCAAACAGCCATCACTTACTTCAGTAGGTCCCAAGAAAAGCAGCAACAGACCTGCCTGAACAACACTAGGAATGTGTCATTTAAGGTCAGGAGACACAAGCATTATCAGTGATTGATATCACTCATGTGCTCTGCCCTCAAAGAGATATCGACTATAGAATGCCGTACTGTTGAAAGCATGGAGATGACAACACAGGAGCAGGGGAGCACGCAGCAGCAGCTTATGAAGAAGCAAATGCGCCTGCAGAGGCACATGGCAAAATTGTGTTCTTGGATACAGAAGCAGATGTAACAGCACAGGAATTGATAAACCAGCTCATCGCTGAGTGAGTTAGAACACAGTCATGATCCTTGCATCTAGCAAAGCTTTTAGCAATAAAGAATGACAAGTCAGTAACACCAAAGAGCAGAACTCATTCACTGGGGCTACTATATTTTCTTGGCAGTCTGATAAAAATGAAGGGAGGGCCAGAATATGCCAAAATGATACTACTGTTCACTAACTACTACTACTAATGGGCTAAGAAGTCTAGCCCATTTTCCTTCTGCTTTACACATTTTTCTCAGTGAAGCATTCAGCTGAGATAAGCTATGAATTTTACAGACTTTCCATAAGTATAATTTAGTTTAACCAATAGGATTATTTGTCTCTATTTTCTGTGGTGAAAATATTTTACTGTTCCAAATCTCACATGCTTTAGAAAGCTCTGCATCAGGTTTCCTTTCTTCTGATATTGGTCATAAAAGTAATTCAGTGCAACTGCTGTAATAAGCCAGCCAGCATTTTCAATATTATGTTATCTTCACAGAATTAATGGCTGTAATTAAGGCAACCAATGACTGCCAACAAAAAAAAATGCACCCATTAATTTAGCAATGGTTGTTTCTTTCACAAGTATCTATCTTTTTTTTAAATTCTAGACTGAATGAACGTTACCTATTTGAAATAATTAAAAGAAAAGCAGAAGTACAGTCAGCTGGGTAGGTGCTGTGCTTCTAGTTTTATCCTTATGTTTACCTTTTCTTTTACACTAATTCTTCTGCAGTGTCTGATAAGCAAAATGTATTAACTGCTCATACATGAATGAGGCTGCTTCCAAAACCCTACCCACTCATTAGAAAGTGCAGAGGAACTTAGCAGTATTTGCACATTTCCTTGTTACTATATATATGCATTTTGTAAAAAAAATGATGCAGCTAAATCATTAGCTTCCACTCTAAGTTACTTTGTCTTTCCTGAAAGAAATCTTTGTTCTGTTGCCTGCCCAGCTCAAAAATTTTGTAACTCCTGCATTTGGTCAATTTTAGTTATCCAATTAATGACATTTTTATTATAAATAATATAATCAATAAAGTACTTATATTGTGTAAATATTATGCATGGTAAAGAACTTCTACTGTTTTCCACCACTGAGCCTGTGAAAAGATGTACTAGAAAGAAGAGGAAGAGCTTTTGGATAGGAAAATATCAACCAGTTACCAAGAGTGTTTGTTGCAATTACAGGTGATCAAATTCCAGTATAATCTCATAATAAAAGAAAGGGTTTTTAAAACAGCTACTGTCACATAGAAATCTGACCCTAAAATAGAAAGTACCGGGACAAGTATTCTACAATAACTGTAAGTTAAATCCTAGCTCTATTAAAGCCAAAAGCAAAACTCTGATTTACTCTATCAGATATGAGGTTGGAGAACTTAAGCCCTCTGAAATGGAGTGACATTAAATACTACCATACATTTTGCAATAATACTACATGCCCATAGTACAGGATTATTGATGTTTGTGTAAGGCTTTCACAGCCTTGGAGGGCATCTGCTATAGGAAGTCGAAAGAAAAATTGCCTGGGTTTTTCATTCAGAGCAAGCAACAGGAATCTCATAAGAAATAAAAATACTTTTCTCTTACCTTTCAAGTACTTTCATCTGTCTGATTCAGAGCCCTTCTGATGCAGCCACCACTGTGCAAAGGTAATCTGAACAAGCTGGAAGGTCACCAGGTCCTCTCCTCTTCCCACTCCAGCTGGAAACCAATAGTACTCCCTGCAGGGAATTTAAGTCCCCATTGACCAGAGGAAAGGAACCAATAGAGACCTTGGGGTGTTTCCCTCCCAAAACCACCTAAGGAGCAGGCTGGCCCTGGGAGCAATTGCCCTAGTCAGTATCAGTCTTTCTCACTAGCAAGAAGAATCATCTACTTGTTTTATGCTCTGTTTCTACTTAAAAGCCAGAAAGCCTTTCTGGCCCTGCAAATCTGGCTGCAAACATTCCAGAATTATCACTGACGCCCACATATTGACAAGCACATTTGTAGTACTAATGATGTGAAATTCAGCTGGAGTAACACAGAAAGTTAAAATAAAACACCTTAAAAACCAGCAGTAAACACAACACTGCACTTATCCAGTGCAATACTTACAAAAAAGAAAACCAAACACAAAAAAAACACACAAAAAAACAAACAAACAAAAAAAAACAAACTAACCTTGAGAGCTTAAATTACATTTTGTAGGCATTGTTAAAGTACCTGCATGATTGTTTTAACCATGTGCATTGCTGAGCTCAGTTTTCAGCTAACAAACTCTCTCAGATTCTTCCCATCTGCTTTGCTTTACTGCAACCTCACAGCTGTGCTGAGAGCTGAAGATGGTAGCAGCCTAAGAGCTATCATCATGCCTCATTAGCCTTTGCCAATTTCAGTCACTGTAACAGGGGGGTGAAGTTGAATAGAGTGTACTTACAGTGCTGAGCACGGCAAATACCACAAACTCACACTGGGGCTCCAAGCTTTCTCACTTAGTTTGCATTTTGTAAAGCTGCAGGTACCAAACACTCTATCCTAGGCAACCCCATTACAGAAAGGGAAAGGTAGTGCTGCAAAGCAGCACAACTGGTCTCACCTCCACAGCTGGGAAAGTGCTGGTGACACAGGTGATGCCGTTGAGCAAGGCAGAGATTCAGCCCTAGCTGAAGAAATAGTTCTCCTTCCCATACCCTTTAGTTCCTCACTCAACTGGATCACCTAACACAGGGAGACCAAGGGGAAGTGGAACAAAATATTGCAGGAAAAAAATGCACACTCTAACATGCAAATCACCTTTGATCATATCTGGCTCTCTGCTTTATTTGCCCTGCTAATAGTCTACAGATTGCTGGAAAGCTGAAAAAATAGCAAGTTATAGATCATAACATCAGGAAATTGAAATTCTCTCCTGGCAATCACCAGAAATCTTCCAAGCCAGTCATGCATCAACACACAATATCACCAGGAAGCATGGCTACAAACAGCCTGAGTTTTGAACTGGATGCTCACAGAAGGATTGCAGCCCACACACACTGAGACTTGGCTGTTGCTGCAGTTTCTCTCATGCAAGTTTAAAAGCAGTCTTTCAGCTTCTCAGAGTATGAAGAGAGCACAGAGAGATGGGAAACAAGGCCAGTGACAAGCATCTCACCTCTCTGGGGCTCATGAGACCCATCCAAAGCAAGAAAATCTGAATGTAGCTAACCCTCTATGCCTGTTTAATGCTCTGTGTAACAGGTATTAGTGGTTTCAGCCTGGCACATCCACAGAACAAAAACCATCAGAACAGCTAACACCTGGGTTGGCAAGGCAGCCAGAAACTGAAGAGGCTCTGGAGAATTAACCACTTCATCAACACCAAAAATGGCTTCTTTGCACTGATCACCATCACCTGCCCCAACAGCCTATGTGGGTAAGTTATTGTGGAACCTGTTGCTGCTGACTCCAGCATGGATAACAAAATTTGACTGCATTAGCCTGCCAGTCTGGCTCCTTCTTCCAGATTACACCTGTATACCTCAGAACCAGTATAATATACCAGGCATTGAAGTAAAATGCCAGGCACACAGACAAAAAGCAGCATGAGAAACTGAGAGAGAATCCAGCTTCTCGCTGGACTTTTGGGGTGTAGGTAACAAGGTGACATGAACAGAAAAGGTAATTGAAATTATTTGTTCAACAGATAAAACTTAATGGATGTTCTCCCTGAAAGCAGGACATAGACTTACTTGAAACACTGTCTGAGTGGAGTCCTAGTTGGTAAAACAGGAAAGTTTCAGGGCAGCTTAGAGCAACTGAAGAATTTTCCAGAGTTTTCACTGTTCAGCATTGATTATTCAGTGGTGTTTTTAAATGCTAAAACTTACCCAAAATTCATGAGGTGAAAAAAATGCAGAAAGCTGATATAAATTTAGGAATAGTGCTAGGTGATAAACAAGCAAAGAAACTGTTAAGAAACAAAACTAAGGCCACATTGAAGAAGACAGCTGGCAGATAACCTCATACACAGCAGGATAAACGTGCTTTTCTGGGCGGGGTCCCCAAAATGCGGTGTGATGCCTCTGCATTACATTTTCCTGGTGGGACCCTTTTCCCCGTCATTTTTACTGACTTTCCTCTCCAGCCTAGGACCCGTATCCTGAGGTTTCTGCGGAAGTCGCCAGCTCCCTCTAATGACGAGGCTTGTCATCAGCACTGGGGTACGCAACACTGCCCTCTAACGGGGTTTGGATTCTCCCCGTACTTTTTCCCGCCCGCAAAGGCACCGGAAATAGAGTCACTGAGCAAGGGCGAGCGCAGAGACCGGCGGGGCAGGTACCGCTACGCGCCCGCAGGGGGCGCACCGAGAGCCCCGGACCCCTCACCGGCAGCCCTACCCACCCGCCTCACCCGCGCGGTGTCTCAGCGCATGCGCGACCCCGCTGCCGCTCTCCGAGAAGATGGCGGCGTCCTCGCTGTGCTGGGTGCTGCGGGCCGCTCGGCAGGTCAGAACGGGTCACTCCCGGCCCTGCTCCCCTTCGCGACCGCGGCCGGGCCGGCGAGGGGCTGCGGGGGACTGCGGGTCTTGTTAGACCGGCGGGAACAACGCGGGTGTGGGTGCAGCTGCGGGTTATTCGTGCCCCGGGTGTCATGAATTCCTTGCTGGCTTCTGTGAGCTGAGCGGGATCACACGTTACACTTAGTGGGCAGGAGCAAGGAATTAGTTTGAAGAAGTCTGACAAAGAGACGTTTGTGGAAATAATTCATACTTGGGTCGGGCAAAGTGTGCGGCAGGCGGGTGTTATTGCAGGCTTCATTCTTTTAATCAGGTTCTCCCCCCGCCCTGCACTAGCCAAGTGCGCAGCTACTACGTGGACTGGAGGATGCTGCGGGATGTCAAGAGAAGGAAGCTGGCGTACGAGTACGCGGACGAGAGGCTGCGGATCAACGCCATCCGGAAGAACACCCTCCTCCCCAAGGAGCTGCAGGTACCGCGCAGCCCCCCCGGGCCTTGCTGCGGCGGCCGCGTTACAGACGCGAGAGGCCGTGCCAGGTCACGGACGTTTGCTATTCCCAGTCACTGGCCCAGGACCATGTCACATTGCATAGCTGCCGCTAGCGCCCAGCGTCTGCAGAACCTTTTGGGAGTGTTTACAACAGGGTATTCGCCTGACTAGCGGCTGTGTGTGTTGGGTTGCGGGTTTGGGTTTTTTAAACCAGTGCTTCTCTTGTAAGCAGTATATGTAACACTACATGTGATGAAGTATCTTCCTTCCCCCTCCCCCAGCTGCACTACCATGCATTCAGAAAGCTGTTTTCCTTATTTCTGCTAATACGGGATATATATGATTACTTGTAGAACTTCCCAAATAAACATTTTTTTTTTTCTTTAAAATCCTGGAAGCCTGATCCAGTCAAAAGCACCAGTTTGTTCAATTAGAAGTACTTAATTTTATTTCTTGCCTGAGCTACAAGCATGCAAGAGCTGCATCAGATTTGGGCACTAGAGCTGTTCTTAAAAATGCAGCTACTCGCCCAGCTCACAGCCTTCCTTACTAATCATTAAAAACATTTGTATCAGAAATATTCCTGTATGTATTTGATCTGGTCATACCTAATTGTGGGGAGGTCCTTACGTGCTTAAACATCCTTGGAGAGAAAGTATATGGATCTGCTTTTATATATTGACTTTACTGTTGTCTTGGCAAGCCTAGTCTATGTGGATGTCCTTACAGAACAAAACCAGATTGCAGCTGGCCTTGCTTTTGCTATTCCACAGCTGCTTTTGTCACGATTTGAAGTCACTAAGTTATAGCAGCAGTTAGAAGAAAAAGACTCCAGGAAAGTAACTTCTGTCTCCCCTACAAAACGTCATTTAGGCTCCATACTTAAAGACTTTAAAAGTAAGTAATGAGTTTTCTCTGAAAGCAGAGGTTACTTTCTGAAAAAAAAAAAAAAAATCCTAGGAATTAAATAGGTAGATAAAGTACTGCAAATGTTTGGCTGTACTAGGGGCACATAAAATTAGAGCTATATACATAGGTAAGATACACAACTGGACAAAACCAGTAACTGAAGTATGTTCTGAAGACAAGCAGTCCTCCTGACCTTGCTGTTATTAAAGTTGAAAGTCATGATGCTGCCCTTTGAAGGCAAACATCCTTTTGGAAGGCAGCCCTTACACTTGCTTTTCTCCTGGAGTATAATAGGAGTGTTTGTAGTCGAGCCTCAGGCCTTCCTTTTATTTCCCACTGTGACTGAACATGGGCTTCTTTGAGCCCTTCTGTCCTTCAGAAAATAGCATATTAAGAATGCTGCAGTTAGGGATGCATATCCAGCCTCAAGCAACTTCATTTAGGCTACATTTCCTTGCTGACCTCACCTTTTCTGACGCTGCTGCTACATGGTGTTTCCTGAAAACTAGTGAGCTCTTCAGTTATATGTAGAAAGACCTATCTTAAGCCTTCTCATTAGAAGAGACAGTAAGGGTCAAAGGGAGACAAGTGTCTGAGAGACACCTGGACTTGTCCTCCTCTGGCTGCAACTCTTGGTGTCAGTAAAAAGGATCTTGTATATATCAAAGCATGTTACCTAAGAAGGCAATTAATAAGCAACGTATATTTAAATTCAGCCCATGTTAAAGGATTAGCCCACCATGCAATAAGGAGAAAGCCAAGTGGATTTTGACTAACTATAATCACTAGCTTCAGGCTGTTAGGTTTGTGTAATAAAGTTAACTTTGGGGTCTCTTTGTGAATCATGTTACATTTGACCCTAGGATGCCCAGAAAGAAGGGGTGAAGGCAGGTAAGCATACTCATGAGGTAGTAGAGCAGCTCGTGGCAGTACCTACTCTACAGCTAGATTTTGAGGTCTGACAATAAGCCCCCTCAAACTCTTGGTAAATACAGGTAACTGTGGTGTGGTCTTCTGTTTTAGGAAGTGGCTGATAAAGAGATTGCTGACCTGCCCCGGGACAGCTGCCCTTCGAGGATCCACAATAGGTGTGTCCTGACATCCCGCCCTCGGGGGGTGAAGCGGCGCTGGAGGCTCAGCAGAATAGTTTTCCGCCACTTTGCTGACCATGGTGAGATGTCTGGGATACAGAGGGCCATGTGGTAGATCACCGCATGGATATGCATTCAGGCTGAAAACACAAAGCAAGTTCAGTCTGTGTTTGAGTTAGTTAAAGCAAGACTGTCCTGTCCAAGAGCCCAGCACCAGTATCAAACTGATAAAGGCAGGATGAAAAGCCATGCTGATGCCTTAAACTCACTGGACTGCAGCTGGTATGAGTTGACGAAAAACAGTATAACCACATTAAACTTGTCTGTATGAGGCAGTTTTATTGGGGGGGGGGTGGTGGTGGAAGAAAAATCACTACCAGAGGGCTGCAAAACTAAGCTGAGGTTTGTGATAAGGGCAACATTAGAAATAAAGACATACAGCACAAGGCTTGTTTAAGCAGTTGTTTTGTCACTGTACGGTAAGTTCACCATGGTAATTTGGGTAAAAGCATAAATGGAATTGCACAACAGGGCAAAGTGGTATTCCAAACAAGGGTGAGCACAAACTGAAACAAAACATGGCCTCAAATTAGATACTCTTGCTATGCAAAAATATATGTATAATAACAAGCAGACCAAGTGGATAACAGACCCATTAGAAACTACAACATGCTAGCATTTATCTCCTGCTTGTAGTGCACCACTTAGTCCAGTGCTTTAAGAATAAGGTTGCAAATCCTAGTCCAGACAATAATAGGAGAGTAATGGCTTCCTTAATTCATAAGGTAACATCGAACAGATCTGTCCTTGGGAGACACATGAGAAGGATGCAGGAAGGAAACAATAAGAACAAGCCTGCTGCTAAGCTCATGTTTGCCCTGTACTCTTCTTCAAAGCAGGGCAATGAAGGGGAAATGGCTGCTCTGTCCCCCTCCCTCACACGGGCTGAGAGGCTGCAGTGAACAGGCCAAGTACACCTGTACTACAAGCAGATGGAAGGCACACGTGCAGCAAACTGACAGCAGCCCATCAGCCCTAGTGGAGTCAGATTTGGGAGTGTAAGCTCTCTCAATATATTTACTACTCCATTACCTTAAAATACTTGAAATTTTGTAGGATAAAGTATAGCTTGTCTCTCTTGTCCTCATACATCACTAAAGCCAGGGCAAGCTCAGTGGCCAGCATCAGCTGCTTACTGCCCTCCTGTGACTGATGCCACTTCAAAGACCCCTCAAGGAGGCCACAGCATAGGCACCCACTGAAGAGCTGTTCTTTAAAAATTCACAAGAGGTTAAACAGCAGTCATTAATTTCTGAGAGTAATTTTAATGTCACAGGATTAACACCATATTGTTTCTGCTTAACTGTCAAGTGTTTGAGATAGTGGTTCTACTTTC